GCATTGTGTGAGCCTTTAATTGTATGTGTTCACTCGAGAGACCAACTAGAGTGCCTTGGAACACTCTGATGTTTTATGGATCAACTAGAGTGCCTATAGAAAAGATATGCAAGTTTGTACAAAGTCTCGTAGAGATATGTCTTTAAAATATATTATAAAATCATATTTATCAAATAAGATTTTTATTTTCTATTTTCTAAAACAGTTTTTAAAATTGAACTCACCGATTTTTTTTTTCTTTTTAAACACAATTGTTAAAAATTGGTTTTAAAAATTAAAAACAAAACTAATTCTCCAAGTGGAGACCTCTTCAAATTATTAAAATAATTTAAATTGCATGTCAAAACAATTAAAATTGTTGACCAATGATCAAAGGTGCCTTATAGGATTTTCAATAAAGTACACAATAGATACATCAAGTTGTAACATCATACAATACAATATTTCATAAAGTAGTTGGAACATCATTTGGAGACTTCTTTATTTTGGAGAGCATACAAATTATGAATCATATTTTCATTTCATAACATGTCTAGTTTTGTATAAATTATGTGTCCTTAAATGAACCTATATTTGTTATAGATTGGTTGTTAATTCTATTCAAAGACACGGTTATGACAAGTAGGGTTACAAGGATAAGAACAATCTATCTGTTGAAAACCTTTTCTCTCATAATACCAATCTCCCCACAACCTTTGCTATTGTCTGCACGTTGTTAATAATAACTTGAGTTAGAAGAAAATAATAATAAATTGTAAGAGTTTGGATTTTAAGGAGTAAAGAAGGAATATAAATTTAGAAACTCTGCATTTATATTGATAATGCAATTCAGTACAGAAACAGAAAAGGAATATAAGATAATATCTAAAGAGGGAATAGAATGATTCCAAGAGAGAAGGTTTTGATTTTTCCTCCCCCACTTTAGATCCTTAGCCTCCACTAAATAGTAAAATCCTCCAAAAGATTGTTAGGCTTTCTCTCTCTGTTACTCTTTCTTGCTGCCACCTGTCCCTTTCTATTATTTGCATCAGATCCACTCAATGATTGTCCAATTCCATTTGTACCCTCAGTCTCAATCATAACATGACTCCCTCCATTGAAACTAACCTTGTCCTCAAGGTTAAGGGATGGAAATATGGTCTGCTACTGACTGTAATCCTCCCATGTAGCGTCCTCTACAGTGAAACCTATCCATTAAACCAATACCTGTCTGACTGGTCTATCCTGCACCATGATCGTGCGGGAGCTGTAGAATATGCTAAGGCATGATGATAGGACCCTGAGCTGTGGTAATCAATGGCAAGGGCATATAGGGTGTGGAGTGGGGGCCCTTGCAAGGTTTAAGGAGTTATACATGAAACACGGGGTGTATTTTTGCGGTTGGAGGTAATGTTAGTTTCTAAGCCACTTGTCCCGACACGTGACAACACTTTGAAAGGCCCAAAGTAGCGAAGACCAAGCTTTTGATTCTTGCGCAATGCAACAGAAACTTGACGGTAAGGTTGCAGCTTGACTAAAACCTTGTCGCCTACTGCATATTCCACGAAACGACGCCGCTTGTCAACAAACTGTTTCATGAGGTTTTGAGCCTTACACCAAATTAGCTTTCAGTTGCGCTAAAACATCATCACGTTCATCGAGTAAATCCTGCAAGGTGTAGGAGGATCAGATTGCTGCCAATTCATACTTAATAACTTGAGGAGGGGTCTCTTCCATACACTGCTCGAAAGGGTGTCATGCCAATACTGGTGTAGTACGAAGTCTTTGTACCAATACTCCGCCCAAGGCAAGAAACCTAAACCAATGTTGTGGGTTGTCTGCGGTGAAACAAAGGAGGTACAGCTCTACAAATTTATTAAGTGCTCTGATTGCCCGTCCGATTACGGATGATAGGCAGAGCTCATGTTCAGAGGGGTTCCACTTAATCGGAAAAGTTGTTGCCAAAACTTGCTGAGAAATACTTTGTCACAGTCTGACACAATACTCTTAGGGAAACCATAGAGTTTTGACAACGGAATGCATAAAAGCTTGAGCTACAGATAGGCTTGAGTAATCACTCTTCAATGGCATCAAGTGACAGTATTTGGAAAGGCGATCAATGACCACTAGCAGAACGGTGTAACCATGCGAGGGTGGAAGTCCGGTAATGAAATACATTGCCATATCTTCCCAAATTTGTGAGGGGATCGGAAGTGGTTGGAGTAAGCCAGAAGGTAGTGTGGTAGCAGTCTTGGCTTGCTGACAGATGAGGCAATTTGAGATGAAAGTAGTGACATCTTTGTGCAGAGTTGACCAAAAAAATTGAGCAGTAATACGTGCTTTGGTACGAGTAATGCCAGAATGGCCTCCTAATTGAGAGCTGTGAAATTCTTGGAGTATAGATTTAATCAAATCAGGCGCTTCCGGTATCACAAGCCTATCCTTCCAGTAAAGTAACATGTTCTTATGGGTATATGCATTTTCCGGTGGTGAGCCCTAAATACACTGCTGTAAGGTGGACGCATAAATACCATATGTTATCCCTGCTTGTTTTATATGTTGCAACAATGAGGAATGTGTGGAGGAAAAAGCTAGCATGAAGGAACGAGACAAGGCATCTGCTGCAATGTTATCCTTTCCCGGCTTGTACTCAATGGTGAAATTATAGCCCAAAAATTTGTGAAGTCATGCTTGTTGTTCAGGAGTTTGAATGGACTGTTTTGTCAAGGATTTGAGACTCTTTTGATCAGTGCGTATGATAAATGTATGACCTATGAGATAGTGGCGAAATTTGGAAATAGCCTCACTAATAGCATATAGCTCTCGCACATAGGCACTAAGTTTCTGCACCCTTGGGCTAAGCTTTTTGGAGAAGAAAGCAATGGGATGTTTGGCATGGCTCAGTACTGCTCCAATGCCAGATCCGGATGCGTCAGTTTCCAAAAATAAAGGGGTTTGGAAAAATCTGGTAAACTGGAGAACAAGGGAAACTGTTAACGCTTGTTTCAGATTATCAAATGTCGCATCAGCTTTGTCATTCCAAAGGAACTGAAATCCTTCTTTAGAAGATCAGTTAAGGGTAGAGCAAGCGAAGCGTAACCTTGTATGAAGCGCCGATAATAACCCGTGAGTCCAAGGAACCCGCGTAGTTGTTTCAAATTAGAAGGTCGTGGCCACTCAAGCACTGCTTGCACCTTCGAGCGATCCATTGCAACACCTGTCCTGAAACGGTATGGCCT